TGATACAATGGAAATTGTAACCTTGCAAGAAAAAATCCTCACCGTGCTCTGAATCTATCCATGTTTCTGATATTGCAATGATGTTAAACGGCCTCACAAAATTATCAATATAATCTTTAATATTCTGAAAATGAGCATAAAGACTTCTGCTATTAAAATGAATGATAGATAAGCCTTGCTCATATTTAATAGTTGCATTAAACTGTTGGTCAGTAAAATAACCACTTAATGAATGTGTGCTACTATGGAAATTTTGTTCTGGATCAATGTCCTGTTCAAAATCACCCATGAAGAAAAAATAATTTACATATAGAAAAAAAATTTAAGTAAATAAAACAACAACACCCACAAACTAAGTAAAAAACTAAATTAAAGAATGACCAACATAACTGTAACCATATCACTTAATATTTTCTAGTTGCTTGATATCTCTGATCCAGAACCCACGACTATTTTCCGGAGCACCTTTCTGTTTGATGAACACCTTACAATTCATAGTCCAGGTAGACTCTATGTATCCCTGCTTTTTCATTTGTCTCGCTCTACGAGCAATGTCTGCATTTTTCTTCGTCAGATTTTCATTCAAGTACACATTTGTTCCCTTTAATTTCCTCCCCTGTTTGAGCAGATCCACTTTGTGCTTCCTACTATTAAAGCGTATCATAATAGCTGGTATCACAGATTTATCCAGATTTTTCTTGAAAGGTAATGAATGGCATGCCTCAATGTTTATTTTATCAATTGAAATGTCTTTACTTTTCAGAAATGACACAACCTGCTCTTCAGCTGTATCATCTTGGTCAGCCCCATTGTCATTATCTATTCCCTTTACCGCTTGGAGGTAGCTTTTAGGCCTAATTTTAAGACCTGTAATAATTATATCATTCATTCTTGAATGCTGTTCCAGCTCTGCCACTCGATTTTCGAGCAAGTCAATTTTCCTTTCTTGTTCCATATTTCTCATTTTAAGATCTTTAATCTCAGTAAGTAAGTCCTTAATGCAGGCTTGCTGTTTTGTCAAAGTTGACAACTCAGCTGTCATCATGCTCACAGAATCCTTTAACTCCTCCATATCTTTCTGTAGTACTTTCATTGCCATTTTCGTGGCCAGATATAAAAACAATTCACTTAGCTTTTGTTGAGATTTTCTGTGTAGCCAGGCTTAGCATAGATGAGCCAAGAAACAGGTCCTGGTAGCTGATGGTGGATCCTGGCTGCCAGACTCGAAGGTCGGTGACAGTACCTGGCTGCTAGGCCCGGAGGCCGGCGGTGGAGTCGGGATGCTGGGCCCGGAGGACGGTGGCAGTACCTGCTGCTGGGCTGGGAGGCCGATGGTGAAGCCTGAACCCGGCCTGAAGGTTGGTATGGCTAAGCTTGCTGCTTGTCCCGGACGCTGTTGGCGGAGACCGGCTGCTGGGCCCGGAGGCTGCTGGTGGAGCCCGGCTGCTGGTCCAGGAGGCTGCCGGTGGAGCCCGGGCACTGGGCCCGGAGGCCACCGGTGGAGCACGGCCGCTGGTCCCGGAGGCCACCGGTGGAGCACGGCCGCTGGTCCCGGAGGCCGCCGGCGGAGCCCGGCTGCTGGTCCAGGAGGCTGCCGGTGGAGCCCGGTTGCTGGGCCCGGCGGCTGATGGCGGAGCCCGGCTGCTGGGTCCGGATGGGCCCAGAGGCTGCTTCAGCGGTCGGAGATGGCTTAGTTTAGGATCAGAACGTTACGGTGAAGCACCAGTCTGCTCCGGTCCGGTCCAATATCTCAATAAATCAATCCACGGTGCAGGCAGAATGCGTCAACAGCAACAACAGATCTAACAGCAATGAGCAGGGCGTTGTGGTGGGATGTGAAAAAGTTTGCAAAAGCCAGCCGGAGAGCCAGCCGGAGAGCCGGGTTGTCCTAATGAGACAACGGATGGTGTCTTGTGGCATTGCCTCCCAGATCTGTGTGAGGACATCCCTGAGCTCTTGTACAATCTGAGGAGCAACCTGGCGCCGCCTACTGGACCGAACCATGCATTGTTAATCACTTTCAGCTGTATTCGTGTTCATGGACTTAACGACAGGTGCACTAAAGTGGCAACAATTATAAAACCCTCAAAACAGGACTGGTTTAACATGTAGAGGTCATTTCAAGTTTCTACCTCTTGATCTTTTTTGGCTGGTTTTCCACTCATGCTAGTTTTGGCTTGATTAATTATCTCTACTGGCAGTATGAGGCGATTCCTTATCCCTACAGAAGTTGCACAGGTTGTCCAACTTCTCCAGCATGGCATATCCACACGTGCTGCAGCAAGACGGTTTATTGTGTCCCCCAGCACAATCTCCAGAACATAGAGGAGATTTTAGGAGACTGGCGGTTATTCTCGGAGAGCTGGACAGGGCCGTAGAAGGTCCACAACCCATCAGCACTGGCCCCGTCTCCCTCACCGGCCCTCCGCCCCATACCAGCACCTAGAGATTGAACGGAACAGAGAAGGAAAAATCGTCTTACCGGACCCTAACAGGCCATTGGCCGACCCACTAACTCCCTTCCCAGCCAATCGAAGCCAACACCCCAGCGATCAAACACAGCAGAGCCCCATCAGAAAAGCCTGAGAACTTTTAACAGAACCCGCCTCGGCGACCTCAAATTGCACAGCTAGCTCCTAGATCGACTCCAGCTCCGGCCTCACCAACCCACTTCTCCGTGTCCCAATGACCCTCCCCTGGGCTCTCCTTCCTCAGTTCTTTTTATATCTCGTTAATAAGTCCATTGCACCTGTGGGCATTCCACACCTGTTCCCATTAGTTCAAATTGGTGTCTCCGGGAGGTACCACAAAGGGAAAACCCATTCAAAAACACAAAAATAAGCATGTCAACAATAATGAAACACAAATCATGCGACTTAAACTATATACCAGAAATGGCAAATAAAAACGTGACAAATCATGCAACTTAACCTAAATCCAAAACTTATCCACTTTGTGATATGTGCTCTATTTTTTCGCAAGCTGCGTCAATTCTGGCAGGAAGTCAAACCAAAGCAGAAGAGACAAGAAATTTTTCTAAATAAAACTGCGTGATTGATAAATGTGAGAGAGATATAAACAAACAAACACACACACACACACCTGCAGAAAAAACATAGTGTTTCCTTAACATAAAATGCAGTTTTTAGAGCAAAAGATGTATTTAATAAATGTGAATACAAACAAATAAGTTAAATTCAAATTTAACTGTACAGTAGCATTGTACACTACCACAAATACTAGTTATCTACTTAACCATTTGGAAAGGAACTGGTCTACAAAACAGCTTCAGGATCAGCGCAGTTTCTGATATCAACAAGTGGGGCAAACTGGTTTTACACACACACACACACACATGCACAAGCAAGGACACAGGGGTGGGGTGGGAGTTTTGGAAAACTGTAGTTGTGAGCAGAAGTGCTCGTCAAAACTTCTCGCCTGATGTGAACAGAGGAGCAACAGGCAGCGCGCGAACCTCGTGAGCGATGTGCTTTGCAGCTGATGTGATCCTGGTGCTATGGAACATTTTCACTTTAAACTGAAGTCTGTACTTGTCTGCAAAATACCTAGTGTTTAATCTGTAGTGATATCTTGGTTAAGCATCACTCCCACATAACCCCTCGTGACCAGTAGAAGGAAAGATCAGGGGAGAGAGTTGTAAATGTTTGCTCTGACTGAGTATTCACAACTGTTTAACACCTTGGTATTCCTAGGGCTGCTCAATTACAGAAAAGTCCTAATCATGATTATTTTGGGTCAACATTGAAATCAGTATTATATAGCAGTATAACATCACTCTGGGTATATCTTATCAAAATAAGAGCCTCAAAAGTCAACCAGAGCTCTAATGTGATCTAAATTGACGTTATCAATTCTCCATTCTTAGTCTTCAGATCCATGGGCTTTGTCTTAAAACCTTAGTATTTGATAGAGAAGTTTATAATTATGCAAATCCTATAGTTTACAGACACTGTGATTTAAAGGGATACTTAGCAACTCTTTCATATTTTTAAAAACTTTTCTTGAGCCAGGATGTGCTAAAATGACCCATTACAGGGTTAATGAAAGGCCTTCTAGCATATTGCACCCTGTGGCCAGAATATTCCACTTAAAACTTCAGACTGGCGGGCCACTCTGTTGGGACTTAGAAAAATACACATAAGGTGTCAAAACATCACTTTTGTTTGTCTGCACTTATTAAAGGCATTTATACTCATTTGAGTGCTCCCGCTCTTTTTTGCCTCATTCTGGAAGTCCTCCAGCTGTAGAGCACTAACCTGAGTGGATGACACGCAGAGAGCTTTATCTTCCACTTCAAGCTCAATGATTATTTTGAATGTGTAGTCTCAAGTTTCATGCCATCTTGCTCCTCTAAGACTCTCCCCAGCTGACAGAGTGGTTCTTGGGCACAGTCGGTGTCACCGTGTGTTTGTGTGTGATTGCTGGTGTGTCTGCATGGTGTGTCAAAGCACTTTTCTGTCATCATTAGCTCTCCTGTTTGACCCATTGTTGATGTCCCGCATCTACCCGGCCCTTCCCTTCTCTCTTTCCATCTCACCAATGCTCCCTCCCTCTCCTACGACCTCACCACCCCCTCCTGCTCTCCCAACTCCTCTCTCTGCTAACCTCCTTCTGGCATGGGGGTGATACTGCGGCTGAAGCCTGCGGGGTGAACTGCCACAAGGCCTGCCGGAGCCGACTGGCTGTCGAGTGCAGGAAGAGGACAAAGAGCATCAGCCACGAAATGCCGCCAACCATTCAGGCTCGTTCCTACAGCTTCCCCCCACCTGCCAACACTCCCCCCGGCCTGCAGAACACAGGTGAGACATATGATCTATACAAATTGTCAGCTAAATCAGAATAGTAGAAACATAAGGGCTGTTTTGCATTTGATTGACTATTCTATTCCACGTCACTGTCTCTGTAATCAGTAATAGCTGAAGAGGACATAGAGACTGTGGAAGAAAGAGTTTTTGATGTCCATCTATAACCAGGTGAGAGAGTGCCATCTAATTATATTCCTCTCCAGCTGTGGCGGATTATAATGTGTGTTTTGTTTTCAGTTTTCTAGCTAGCGCACACCAATACATTTCTCTGCATTAACAATCAAACATGGTTGCATCATGTCTAATATGTGTGCTTGTTCTTGTACTTACTACCTACTGAGGGCCATTATCAAAGAGAAACAAACCAACTGAACTTATTCTGTCTGTCACAACTTTTTAAAGCATGGAACAGCCATGTCGGACTTTGAGGTTAGAATCATTTTAAATGTGTTCTAGTTTATTTTTCTGCTTTCAAACTTAAAAAAACTGACCTTGTCTGTTTATCTTGATTTTAAAAATGCATAAAATTCCTCATTTCTGATCTAGTTTCTTGGTATATTTGTGTCCATCTTCACTAAAAAGAACAGGATCTGGTCAACTCTTCAGTCATTTTGGCAAGGATTAGTCCCATTTTGCTAAAAGCACTCAAAAGTCTTATAATTTTTTTTATTGTTAATGCATTGTTAAGGTCTTTTTTCAAACACAGGAAAGTATATATTTTTTTACCTTCCTGACAGTTTAAATCACTCTTGCGATCTTCATCAGAGATAGCCGCTAAAGGCGGCGTCACTTCCTTCTCCGTTTATCCGCCTTTTTGTGTAGTTTTGTCCTGTCTGATTCTGCTTACTACTATGTCTATGGTTTTTTGGGTTGGTGTTTTTGTGAACAGGGATGTAACGTGTGAGATTAGTGTGTCGTCGTCTTCTATTGTAGTCTTTTTTAGTTATTTTGCCAGTTCTGTGCTGTTTTTGCAATGTTGATCTGTGTTGCCTAACAGTGGGCTGATGATTATGCTGATTTCTTTATCCATATTGTATGTTGGTGTACCTGTGCTGTTTACTATTGGTCTAAGCAGGCTGTTCTGTTTGTGTATTTTTGGAGTTCCATAGATTCTTGGTATTATGCTTGCTGTAGGAATCCAATGTTTAGAAATGTTTTTATTTTATTTTGCCCTTTTCTTGTAGTGGTTTCAGTAATTTTTTCATGTTTTTCTTAATGTCTTCTGTTGGGTCTTTATTGTTTTGTGTGTATTTTTGTCCTCTAGCATCTGTTCCATCTACTGTTTGTATTTGTCTTTGTTTTTTGGGCAGCAGAGGGCAACATCGTCCTCTGCTGCCTGCGAGTAAACAGAGAAGGAAGTGGCGCTGGCAGTAGCGGCTAGCTCTGATGCAGATCGCAGAAGAGATCAAAATTGTCAGCAAGGTAAAAAAAAACTTTCCTGTATTTGCATTCAGATGAAAAACACAGAATGAATTTATAAAAATAAATTATTGTTATTGTGATTTTTTAAAGACATTTTGACCTCCCATTCCAGCCAACACAGGTGTTGTAAGTATATTGTGATCCTTGGAAACCTGTTCCCTGTTTTTGAAGCGCTCTGCCTTTCTCTATCACCTTTAGTACTCCCATTTTAATCCTGGAGTCTTATAACTGAGGAGCATCTTTGACCACTGGGCCGGAGACAGCCCTGCATCCTTCCTTGAAATGGTGTATGAGTGTTAGAAGCCCGAAAACCTTTGACACTATGGGGAACTTGCTTAAAGGCCAGGAAACGTCCATGCTGCCACACTGAGGATACTTGCTGCAACAGCACCTTCACCTTTCCAAACCACAGGATGGCGGGGAGCAGGAGATTGGTTGTTTTCACTCAACCCATTTGTCAAATATTATTAAATCTTCCAAACAACAAAAGACAAAAAAAATGTATTTTAGTGGAATGTTGTATACTACATTTTACTTTTCTTGAAAACATAAAAAAGGTGCTGTTTATTGCTAAGAATAAAAATGTCTATCTGAGATGTTGTGGGGTTTTTTTGTTTAGTGATAAAAAAAAATCTGCCATTTGGATGCCAGATATTGTTTATTTGTGACCATCTTAAGCAGCAGCTGTAAAATATCTGTAGATGGCTCTAAATAAAGTTTAAAGGGACTTTGGTTGGTGTTATATTTTGTTTTGTTGTTTTGGGTCTACAGTGCTGTGAATGTAGCCAAAAAAGGCTGCTGTCTGATGAAGATGCTCATATTTGATCCAGTGAGTATGTGATTTCATAGTTTTGGAGTCAAAGGCTTCATATCTAAGCTCTAAGCTCTGAAAACCAGTGTAAATGCCACTCGTATAGGCCATTTTAATGTTGCATGTTGAGACCACACACCATATTGCAAACTGCTTAAGTATTTTTTGTGCCTGTGGAGACATGAATTCAGACCTTGAGCTGCCTATTGCTAACTGCTGATTAGTCATTGCATGAAACTCTTCCTATCATAAGTATTTGTTTGAATGTTTTTGCTGTGTGGATAGATAACAAGTGTGTTTCAAGAATGTGTCTTTAATTTTTGTGATTTTAACATTTCTTGGAATTAAATGCAGTGGGCATCTACAAAATATGTGTTGCTGTAAAGATGTTTCTGATTAATAACAATATGGGAAAACAGAGTCTGTGTTGTTTTTCTTTGTATTCACATATTTGTTGATTTGCATTAACTATGGAGGTAAATGTCGTGCAAAAACTTTTGTGTTTTGTCACTGGAAACTTGAAGTCACAGAGAAAAATCCAGAAAAATCTTATCTTTTAAAGGCAAAACACAACAGCTACACCTATTCAAAATGTTAGGTGCAAGTACACAAATTGCATTCTTTGAGTCACACATCAAAACAAATTTTACAGTTACAGTTTTGCCCCAGAGTAAATGGTGCAAAACACGTCCACATACTTGGGTATGAGAGGATAAAACAAACTCGAGCTTATTTCACAGACACCAAACTAAATGGTAAATGGCCTGTATTTGATATACCGCCTTCTAGAGTCCTGGAGCCCCCCAAGGTGCTTTACAACACAACCAGTCATTCACACACTGGTGGAGATGAGCTACGATGTAGCCACAGCTGCCCTGGGATGCACAGAGAGGCGAGGCTGCCAAGCACTGGCGCCACCGGTCCCTCCGACCACCACCAGCAGGCAACGTGGGTTAAGTGTCTTGCCCAAGGACACAACGACAGCGACAAACTGAGCGGGGCTTGAACCTGCAACCGTCCAATTACGGGGCGAGCACTTAACTCCTGTGCCACTACTGTAACACTTCACACAGTATTGTAGATACACACTTTTGTTACTTTAAGTTACAAAATATGGAATTCGTGCTCTAATGATTTTGCTCCACTTAATCCAGCACATTTGAAGAATAATTAATTCAAAGACTTTTATTGAGAACTTCCCACAGACGTATGGTTTTGTCATTGTTTTCCTTGTCGCAAACACAAATGAGCTAATCCAACTGCACAAAACTGCTGATGTGAGTCACAAATGCAGCTTTTCAACCTACACATTTTTTCACACAGCCCTATTTTGCACCACTTGTCTTATGCAGAAAATTAAATGTAACCTGTAGGTAATTTGTATGCCTGTACAGCAGGGGGCACTTTAAAGCTTAGTATTAAACAGGAAGTATATCTCCAAGGATAGCAGATTTAAATGGCAGATAACGTGGGTCCCAGAGTCTTTCTCCACCCACATTTAAATTTTAGTAGGCGTTGCATGGTAGGCTTAGAGGGCAGAGCTGTGGCAGTGACGAAGACGGATGGCTAACAGGGCAATTTTGACTGAGCAGTCATATGAAGTGAAGGATTTTTCTCTCCCTCATCACGTGACAGTGCGGAGAGTGTGAGAAAAATCGCGCACAAGCTGACTTGGTGTCTAAAAAGAACACAACTTCTGCAATTTGGGAGTATTTCTGGTTCTTTCTATTTTCAGCCGCTTATCCCGATTCGAGTCGCAGAGGCAGTAGCCTAAGCCGAGACGTCCTGACTTCCCTTTCCCCAGCTACTTGGGCCAGCTCCTCCAGGAGGGTCCCAGGGCGTTCCTTGGCCAGCCATGAGACATAGGGTGTGTCCGAATTCAGAGGCAGGTTTTCTCTTATGCAGTGATCTGTTATGGCTGACTTCTTTATTGTGCTTTCTGCTTCTTCTTTTTCTGCTCTTGTGTGTTTTCGATTTGCCTCTTTCTCGCACTCCTTTCTATGTTCTATTGTTCGTGTGCTGAGTTGGCGTCCGGTTTCTCCTATGTATGTTTTATTGCAGAGTTTGCATGGGATTTTATAAATGACTCCACATTTAAGTCCAGCTGATATTTTGTCTTTTGGGTGTACTAGTCTGTTTCTAACTGTTGTGTATGGCTTTGTTGGTGACACAAGGATCATAAACACCGAACAACAAAAATACAAAAGATGGATAAAAGAAGCAATTAAGATAAGGAGACGTGGATGTGGGACCATGAACAGGGACGATGGAGTTTACACGTTGGACCGCACATGGGACTGCATTGTCGGAGAAGGGAGAGCGGGCAGCAGAGGGCGACAACGTCCTCTGCTGCCCGCGGATAAACGGAGAAGGAAGTGACGCCACCATCCGCGTCAGCCTGAGGATGTTTGCAGCCGCAAACGAAACGTAGCGGGAAAACAGGTAAACAAAACTGCTCTGTGTTTTAAAAAAGAACTACGGCATGGAATTAGAGATACGACACAGCAAGAACACACCTAAGATCTTCTCTACATTATCATTATTCTTCAGCAATTTTATCTACTTAAGAGGGGAGTAAAAAATAAAGAGTAAAAATATAGAAAAATATAACACATACTGTAAATAAATAAGTAAGTATTTAAAAATACTCAAAAAAATCTAAATACCGGATACCATATACCCCTTTGATATTATTGTTTACATTTGCAGGGCTACCATCTTTTGCACATTTCAAAGAGTGAGATGGGTCATGGGGTTGGGAACGGACAATTCGCCGACCGTTTAGAGGGGGGGGGGGGACGACGACTCTGTACTGAAGAGGATTAGAGCCACTGACAAGAGAAGAAAGAAAAAGAAAGATAATTCTTACTGTTTTCTCACAATTCTGACTTTTAATCTCGGAATTGTGACAGGGAATTCTGGGGAAAAAGTCAGAATTCTGTTTCTTTTCTTTTTTCCTTTTCAGTGGCCCTATTCCTCTTCCGTACCTCTGACTTTACAGAGGGAACTGACCTTTGTTTAATACAAATTTTCTTTTCGTGAGGAAAATTTAACATCCAACTCTCCTGAACTTCTTCACATTATCTATCTATCTATCTATCTATCTATCTATCTATCTATCTATCTATCTATCTATCTATCTATCTATCTATCTATCTATCTATCTATCTGTCTGTCTGTCTGTCTGTCTGTCTGTCTGTCTGTCTGTCTGTCTGTCTGTCAGCAGTAAAGCGTTGCAGCTACGTGTCACAATTGTCACACAGGGGTGGCGGTCCCTACCCAGGCAACGGCTGGCCTAAACATGCTGGAAGGAGAGCCTGGGCTGCTGGCGCAGAAGCTCGGCATACATGCGTCTCAGGGAGGGCGAGCGGGTGTGGGACAACTGAGCCCAGGGATTGGGAGCAATGCCCTGGAGGCAGGATGTCGGATGCCTGGTACTGTAAGACCGCCTGAGGTTCCTTCCGTGCCGGCTTTGCACCCAGAGAAGCCACCGCATGTGCTGTCTTCAGATTCTGATATGGACCTGGAGGTAGCCTCCTCAAAGAGGCCCCTGAGTTCGGATGGGGGTCCGTGCCCAGAAAAACAAGAAGCTTTAAGGGGAAATCCTGATTTCTTTCCTGACATTTCTTCTGTTGTTTTCCTGGGCAGAGTTGGCTTGGTGGGGAGCCTTTTGTGGAGGACTCGGGGCCCTCTCTCTAGTTGTGTGTGTGTGTGTGTGTGTGTGTGTGTGGGGGGGGGGGGGGGGTCCGTCTTTTTGGCTTCCCTTTGGCTTCGGGGCAGTCTGTTATTGGCACGGTTGCAAGTGTGTGGGGGTGGGCTTTTGCATGTTTGTGTGATTATTTCTGCATACTGCTGACTTGCTTTTGTTTTGTTTGTTTGTACCGTGGGAGAGCTGCACGGAAGAGATGGTGGATGTCGGTGGACCGTCTGCTGGAGCTGAGTGCTGTTCCTGGGATGCGGTGTGAGGGAGGATGGACGTCTGGACTGCCGGGGGAGGCTCCTCTTCGCATCGATGGAGCAGCGGGACGTCACTACTTCCGGCCAAGACTTTGTGCTAATGGGACGTCTTAAAATTACCTCCATTAACTGTAATGGGCTGAGAGGTCGGGAAAGAGCACGATTGATATTACAAGACGTGGACAGTGATATTGTGTGTCTGCAGGAGACTCATTGGATGCCGGACAAGGAAATTGAGATTGGGGAACTGTGGGATGGTTTTGTTCTTTCTAACTGGGACACGTTGGGTGGGGGTGGTGGTGATTTTGTTTAAAAGGGACATTGTTGACAGTTTATGTTTAAAATTTAATGGAAATGACGGTAGAATTTTGGTTGTGGATTTTTCCTTTCAGGAGGGAATGTTTCGTTTGATTTGTGTTTATGCACCTGTTTGTTATGTAGATAGGAAACTTTTCTTTATTCAGCTTGAACAATGGGTGACCAATAATACTATTCTGATTGGGGATTTCAATACAAAGTTGACACGGTTGGATATCATGGAGGGGACGACGCTGAGGTGGGACTCTTCTAGGGATATTTTGAAACAGATTATGCTTAGGAAGGGTCTGATGGATATATGGAGGGCTGAAAATCCTTTAACCCGTGTGTTCTCGAGAAGGGTTATATTACAGCAGGAGCTAAGGCAGAGTCGTATTGATTTATGCCTGGTGGGGAGTGAGGTGATGGCAAAAATCAGTAATTGCCATTACCGTTTTAAACATTATGGGGATCACGCTGCTTTAAATGGTGAACTGGGTGAGGGTGTGAGCATGAGGGGTGGTGGTCCATGGATTTTGAATGGAAAAGTGTTGAGTGAACGAACGTATGAGGTGATGATGACGAAATTGCTGAATGGTAGTACGGCCTATGTTGATAATTTGGATTTATGTGAATGGTGGATTAATTTAAAAAGGATTATTAAGTTGAAGAGTAAAAGGTTTGCTAAACAGCGGTGTTTTAAGGACTGGTTACGGATCTGTAAGTTGGAACGTGACATGGAAAAAGAGTTGCTGGAGATGGAGAAGGATCTGGACAGGGATAAGTTGCTTTTTTTTACTTTGAAAGGGGAATTATCTAGAGTGGGGAGGGATATGTGGAAGGGTCAGATAATATAGAGTAAAGCACAGTATAACGTTGAAGGTGAGAAACCTACATCTTTCTTCCTTAACCTGGAAAAAGCGAAACAACAAAAGTTGTGTACTAGGGAGCTTATGAATGGTCAGGGTTTAATAGTGAGGGATTTTGTGGGGGTGGTGGAGATTATTGATCAGTTTTATAGAAAATTTTTCAAGAGGGAAGTGATCGATAGGATTTGCCTTGACATTGCATTGGATAGTGTTACGTCTAAAGTAGGGATGAGCGAGTACACCACTATCTGTATCTGTATCTGTTCAACCAACTAAATTATCTGTATCTGTATCTGT